TGTGTGTGTGCGTGTGTGTGTGTGTGTGTGTGTGTGTGTGTGTGTGTGTGTGTGTGTGTGTATGCGTGTGTGTGTGTGCACGCGTGAGTGTGTGTGTTTGTGTGTGCGTGAGTGTGTTTGTGTGTGTGTGTGTGCACGTTTGTGCGCATGTGAGTGAGTGTGTGTGTGTGTGGGGGTGTGGGTGTGTGGGGTGTGTGCGTGTGTGTGTGTGTGTGTACGTACGTACGTACGTGCGTGCGTGAGTGTGTGTGTGTGGAGGAGGAGGGGGTCAGCCGCTGACTATATCAGCAGAACTGAGTGTTGTGCTGGTTGAATGTAGACAGGCAGGCAGCAGAGGGGGTTGGGAACTCTCTTTCTCTTTCTCTCTTTTTTTCTCTCTTTTTTTCTCTCTTTTTTTCTCTCTCTCTCCCCAGCGTTTTTGCATTTAAAACCAATTTAATGTCTGTTTTGAAGCATTTCTGCAGTTACTCGGGTAAATTAATATTACTGTTGGTGCTTAAAGTGAAATCATGTTTGCTTTCTTAATGCATGTCCTTAGTCATTCGGTGCATGTTTTTTTTTTTCCCAAGAACTGTTTTTATTCATATTCTTTTATCATATGAGTCTCCCTTTCCACAGATGGCTGTCAGATAATGTTAAGATATATAGGAACCTTTCTAATTAGTCTTTGTTTTAGCATACTCACATTTATTCTGGCTGCATTCTATAACGAACACTTTTCCCACAATCCAAACAAGGCCCACCCTACACTTTTTCTTGGGGAATATCCTGTTTTACTGGGAAATATGTCAAATTATGGAGGTAAAATGGCTTGCAAAGGGCAGTTCACATATAAATTGACCTTTTGTTGTCATTAAAATAATGATACACCATTTTCGCAGCACATAAAATACACACTTTTCCTTATATGTTTGCCTTAACCCTTGTGGAGATAAGAAGAAGAAGAAGAAGAAGAAGCGCACTTAAAGGTATTGAATGCATACTTGTAGTGTATTTCAAATCTTAAACATGTATTTATTTTTAAAAAAATAATAATTTCAAATTATTACTAATTCAATAAAAAAACAGTTAAAGAGAGTACACTTTCGTGTCTCTTTACACACTTTAGTGCACTTTATAATAATGTCAAAGTATACATTTTACTTTAATTTTAAATCATTATGTTTAATAATCTGTCGTGTTTTAAAGAAGCAGACTTCTCTTGATTAAGTACTTGAATATATGTTTAACTGTAGTGTTATTCAATCTTACCTTTAAGGTTCATATACATCTTAAGTTAGTATATTTAAATGTACTAAAATACAACTTCATCTTTACAAATGTAAAATTACAAATATTGTAAAGTATATTTTAGTTCACCATAAATGCTTGTCAGTACATCCAGCAGTAATTTAACCATATTTCAAAGATAATATAATTACATATAAAGATGTATTTAATTAAGTGAGTCAAAAAACACTCAGCTTGCATTGCATTTAATATAAATCTATAAAATATATTCTTGTAAAGTATATTAATTCCTTAATAAGTACTCTATTTATAATGTACGGTACGTTTCTTTTTCACAAGGGAAGGTTAAGCTAAAATCTAGATTTTGGTTAAGTATGAAGTTTATGGACATGTTATTTGTCAATAAACAATGGGATACAAAAAGAATAAACCGACGCCAGACTATTGAAAAGGCAAGCCACCTTTTAACAGTGCTTGAGCAGATAGGCAGTTGTAATGGGAAGATTTAGGTTGAATGCTAGGAATCCCACACAAAGACCTTTAGATCCAGGGCTCACTGAACGTCATTGACTTCAGGGGCCACGCTCCTTTGAAAGATTTGGCTCTGGCTGGGCTTTCAGACTGAGGGACTATAGCAACAGAAATGCTTGGCCACCAGCTCTCACCACTTGAAAAGAGTGAATCACAGATCTTTCCACCTACACGCAGTTCACATTCACTCTCTTAGTCATAGTTGTTCAAGGATAAATGAAGCGTCTGCGTAAGTGTCTTTACCTCTAATTTCTGTTGTGAAAGCCTTCTGATGAACTCGGATGAAGATCTTTCTCAAAGTCAGAGAGCAGCAGGCCTCTGGCTGTGACGCAGCCCATCTGTGACAGCGGCGTGATCTACGACTGTTTACTCTGTGCCCCTCCACCAGCC